ACGTCGCTCGCAGCGCCCACTGGCGCGACGAATTACGATTCTCTTGCCCATACCATACCGTAGTCCACACGGACTGCTGCACCAAAACATCCCTGTTCACCGGAATAGCGCCCTCAGTTGTTCTCCTTGCTCAGGGACGTTTTGAAGACCAATAATTCCTACAGGTATGCGTATACAATGACGGAAGTAGTGACTCAACCGTTGCCCATGTCGAACAATTCATTCCAGCATTCGCGGCGCGAGGTGTAGAGCTCAAAATCAAGAGTGGACTGGAAAGTAGAGGTATCGACGCCGAGAATGATATGCATTTTCCTTCTTCCTTCTTTGATTGTTCGTTTTGTAGGAGTCGGTTATGCGAAGAATCGTGCAGTAGAAATGGGTACTGGTAAATTCATTTGCTTTTGCGACGCTGATGATCTGTCAGAACCCTCGCGTATCCAATCGCAGTACGATCTGGCATCTTCCTGTGCTAATTCCTTAGTCTTTATTGGTAAGTATCTAAACCAATTTGACGCGACTAGACAATCCTTTTCTGCCCCTCTGCATACTCTATGAATAAGACGGATCTCTGGATGCAAACTATTCTAATTGGGGTTGCATATTAGCACAAAAAGGTTGTGGTCTGGTCCCACGCTGGCTGTCTCCCACCCCTCCATCGGCTGCCCGAGCGCCCCGTGAACTGTGTACAGCACTGTTCGCTGTGGATGCTGAGCGCTGTTCGGTTGGGGGGGGGGGGTTGGCGCGGTGCCAGCACTTTTTTACCACCTGCTGTCGTTGCTCGCTCAACATCGGTGGAGAACAGGTCGGCGCCGTCTACTCCAGCTTTCCTGACACGCCAGCGTCCGCAGCGAATAAGACTATATGCGATATGTAACCAATAAAATTGGCTGTAACTCAAACAACATTGAAGAAGCAAAGTTTCGTGCAGATTAGATCACGTGTTGTCTGAAACCTCCTACACTGTTGGATGTACTCGCGAAATTTGCGTCATTTCTTATAACTCGTTTCCCCTGCTCCCCCCCCCTCATTCGCGTATGTCGCGCGCGGCGCATCCTGCAGCGTTGCGCAGCAAGTTGTCAGTGTGCATCACTTCGTCGATTGCAGCAGGGAAGCCCAGGCGAACTGTGGTGGAAGCAAGACTCCATGCATCATGGTACCGACCTTTCCCGTCTCTTTGACATTCAGATTTAAACGACCGGGCAGGACAACTCGCTTTTCTCGTGCGCGGCGACGCTCGCCACGCCCAGTGCGGCATGTTACGATTGCCTCATCACATACCCAACCCGGTTAGGATGGTTTATTTTCGCCATGTGCAGTGCGAACCCTTATGTAGGACGACCCGGGTTCATATTGGAAGATTAGTAAGCCCAGGATGGAATCGTAGCATTATCAGACACCGCTCAACAAACTGACAATACAGTATGCCACGGTTCTATTAAAGCTCACGCTCGCACTCGCCGATCAGGTCTCTTCTTTACTTAACCCGCGACTGCAATGGTACGGTATTTGCAGTTTTGCGCGTGCCGTGCTTGGAACCTGAAGTCTCGTAGTACTACTCCTACACTGTAACTTGATACAGGCAGGTGCAGAGACATACCCTTTCCAATTTTGACAAGGGTCAAGGTCACAAAGAAACGGATTAGTTCCAAATGCCTGATCATGACTCCGTGTGTCAGTAGGAAAATGAAACCGACTAGCTCTCATTTCCACTTTTGAAGAAGTGGGGGGTGGGAGGGGAAGGAGGAGCAGTGACAGATTGCCTCGGAATCTCAGATCGAATTTCGTCCAGGGCATCGAAAAGTATCTCTGCAACTCACCTTACTAGTATTAGAGCGCTTTCACACTTCGCGACCCAATCACTTGGATCGAGTGCGGATCACTCGAGCTACTGGATAGCGCGACCGGATCGCGAAGTGTGAACGAGCTTTGAAGGTGATCTGATGGACAGAAGCAGTGACTAGACACGCCTAGTGACTAACTATTGTGTGCATTCAATAGGTTGAGCGCTGACCGTATGGGCGGGCACAGATATCTGCTTCAATTGCCCTGATAATTTAACCCTGATATTCTGGATCCTTCTATTGATTAACCCTATATTATTAATCATCTTAAGGGAGCAAATTTCGGCGAATACCGGAAGGATCAACCGATCGATACACCAACTGGGCCAATGGTTTATCTGCCGATCAGTTGACATCACAGGTTTGTTTTCCCAGTGAAACTCTCCGTTTTCCCCCATTATTGTCGACGGCTTTGTAGTTACGGCGGGAGGGCTGGGAAACTCGACCATACTGAAGATTCATTCTCTTGAGGGTGCGTTCGTAGCTCGCAGTTTGGTCGCTCGAATCGCGCGAAACTCCCAATGGCGCCAGCTATGGTCTGGCTTCGGCCGCGATCTTGCCAGATGGGTGCCACCGACCATGAAGCCACGTCAACGGGGGTGAACGAGCAGAATCAGTGGCACTCCTCCTGCCCTTCCTAATCACAAAGGCCCTCTGTTTTCTTTTGACGAATGAGCTCGTTCAGGTTTTCACATCTCATGGACCCACACTTATCGCTCCGACTTGGTTTATTTCTCGTGAGCTCTACAGACGTTTGAACGGGTTCCGAGAGGACGTTCGCCTTGGATACCCGGAAGACCTCGAGTTCTTCTATAGAGCGCTCGACTTAGAGAACGTTGCTTTTTTGAAGGTGGGTTTGGTATCATTTTGGCTTCCCATCACAGTCAGCGTCTTCCCTACAACTCGGAAAACTTGAATTTTTCTACTAGCTATCATGATATGCGACGGGAGGCATTCGCCAGGTAGAAGAATACATCCGAATCAGTTTTGTTATTTGATCGATGAGAGACATTGTCGTCAGAAAGCAGACTCACGGAAGGCAACATTTTCTAAGGGGCTGTGAAGACTCTCAATTACGAAAAGTCAGTAATTCAGCGTTTTGGATGAGGTGACTAACTCGAAACGCGTGTCTCATGAGCTGTCATTATGCGACACCCCCCATGCTTGCCTTTCAATTACTTTTCCTTTACCTCCATCCTACAGTAGCTTGACTCAGAAAAACTGATCCGATCTTTTCAGGTTGATCGGGTCCTGGTAACTTATCGATATCATGACGGTTGTGCGTCTTTCGGTGTGCCTGAGCTTGCTATTTGGAAGATGCGTATTGATCGCTTCTGTGATAAGATCCTCCCAAACTGGAAAACGTTCACCATCTGGAATGCTGGTAAACAGGGGAAACGATTTTTCAAGTATGTTTGTAGAACTCTGAAGTTCCTGTATTCAAACAATATTCCAGAGATTTTCAGATCGTTGCCAGAGGAATGCAAAGAACGTGTTGTGGCTTTCTGCGATGTTGATGATAGAAAAATAAATCGGGGAGTGTTTGAGGAATACGACGACGTTGCTCGAGTTGTGCGATGGAAGGTGCCGATCGTGCATGTGAGGTTAGCGCTGTTTCATGCTTACCATTTGCATTTGAAAACATACAGACCCAGCATTTGGCAATGCATCCCGCGATAATCAGTTGGGTGGAGACTCTTAAACTCTGAGCCTTTCTGACTTGTGCTTCTTTCGGTCCTCTCGTCACTCTAGTACGATAAAAAGATCGCGCCAATGAGGTTCAGCATGAAGAGGTAGAAGGGGCCGGGATCCAAATGATCGAGCAACTTTCTGACAGGGTTCCTGAACGACTAGAGATGAGAATCTCGCAATCTCCGATTCGGTATGTGACGAGACAATCGCTTTTTGCCGCATTGGTGGACGTCGCGCCCGCAAGCGACTATCTTCTAGGTCGTAGATGCGGACAATAGACAATGTAGAGAATGGCACTGGATGTCTACCCTGCCGTAATCTACTTGAAATCGGTGCTCCATTCAACGGACTGACGCAAAGTACGAGAACGCCGCGCCCATCTTCGCACTTGATGGAGCGACACTTACGATTGTGTTGACCGTCTAGCTTGCTAAGGAGATCTATCTATCAATAAAGTGGAGAGCTAGGCTGGGACACAGCAGTCCATCCTCACATCCTTGGCCGTCTGGGTCGTGGCGAGACCTGTAAAAAAGTTCCCATAAGTGGTGCCACTGGCGCACCATTCATACCATGACAACTAATACTGCGTAGAAATAGTACAGGGTGTCAAGGTGTCAAGTCAAGGCCATGACGGCTAGCTAGAAAGACTCTCGTAGTTTGCTCGATGACGACCGACCGAGTTTGCGACGATTGGGTGTTCTGAATATGCATACCTTTCTGACCTAGCCCCTCTGATATCACTTTTTCGCCCTAAAGCTTCCTGAACTAAGAAAACTTTCCTTGAATAAATAGGTAACAAAGAAAAATCGTAACGCTGATAGTACTTTACACAAATATAGTAGTTTCCGATTGATAAAAAAGAAATTTTGTACGTATTTGGAGTTAACTACCTGGGTTCCGTCCTTCTACGCAAGCTGGCAATGATGTACGGACAGAGAAGTTTGCAGACGTAGGGGTAGTGTGAGACATATCCTTGTTCTCTGCGAACGCTGGGCGTTCCGGGGAAGACGGGGTTTTGGCGCGGCACCAGTGTGCTCTACCAATTAAGTCGCCTGCCAGCTTCGGCAGTAGTGGAGAACAGGCTGGGGCCGCGCCAAACCCAGTTTCCTGGAACGCCCACCGTCCGCAGCGAACAAGGCTGTACGATCTGTGATGCGAATACGGTAGTGGCGCCTCTTGTAAGAACACCTAGGCGCGGCGTGGTCGAAGAGTCCTCAGCAGGCGGATCGTACTTTAGCGCATCCCCCCTCCGGACTCGACAACTTCTGGGCCATTGGGGGTAAGCTAACAGTGGGTCGTACTATTGTTCCCCCAATTCCTGCTCTTTTTGGGTTTATCAGTATTTCACAAGCAAAATAGTCATTCCAGCCGTGGTCGTGGCTAGAGTCCCTATAATTCTCGCTGTCCGCGACGATGACACGTAGTGCTTGTGAATTGTCGCGTTCTGTTTGTTGACTTTGTCGATTGTCGCTTTCAACAGCGCTTATCGCCACTGCTGGTGGGCTAGTGTTTGCTTTGGAAAAGTGTCTCAATCAGGCTAAATCTACTGTTGAAATGAAATAAAGTTTGTTGCGCCATGCGTTCGTATTATATTCAAAGTCGTACTCATGGAGGTGCTAGAATGCGTACATGGCCTACATGCTGACTGCTAGCTAAGGCCGATGATCATATCGATGTTCATCCTTCCAGAGGAATCGTGAGGAGTGTGATACCAACCATTTTGCATCAGGATAAATAGTGAGAGTAAAGAAACTAGAGGGCTAAGGGAAGAATTCGATCCTACTGCCGTTCGGCTATGGTTGAGCGTGTGGCTGGCCGTGCGGTAGCGCGGGCGGTGATGACGGCACCCGGATGTCACTATCCTCCAGTCTCTTTTTGTGCAGTTTTGAGAAGAGAAAGTGGCACGCTACTGGAGCTGCGAACCCGTTCATCTTGCACATAGCAAGTGGACGGACGTACAGTTCGTTTTCAAGCACGACCGATCTGCAGGTTTGGGAAATTTAAATTTCAAATTCAATTTTTAAAAAAATTGAGAGGATAAACGCTGACCAGGGAAGTCCGCCAACTTACCATGGAACTTTGAATGGAGACCTGGGTAGATCGATAGAGTCTATAAGGTTATTTACAAATATAGATAGCAAAACTGCAACCTGCATTTCACAAGCAACTTATGAGCAGGTAAAGTTTGTAATGGTGCAGTAGGGTGGAGGCTTGGTGGTGAGCTGTGAAGCATAAGCGAGGAATCGCATACGTCGAATCGAGTCGTCGAACGTCGAACCTTACCACTGAACCACCACGACTCGATTCGACGTATGCGATTCCTCGCTTATGCTTCACAGCTCACCACCAAGCCTCCACCCTACTGCACCATTACAAACTTTACCTGCTCATAAGTTGCTTGTGAAATGCAGGTTGCAGTTTTGCTATCTATATTTGTAAATAACCTTATAGACTCTATCGATCTACCCAGGTCTCCATTCAAAGTTCCATGGTAAGTTGGCGGACTTCCCTGGTGAGTGAGTGGAATCTGGGCAACGCCTTACAATCACTACTCAAGGACATAACAAAGAGCTGTAGGCAAAGTGGATCACTTCCATGCCCAGGGTGAGCTGATCCGGTTTTATAGGGCAGCACCACTATTATCATTTAAAAGTACGCGAAATAAAGTTGGCCGTCCAGGTCCAAGGACACATAATCTCGTTAAGGGAAAGTTTCGCTAAGTACGCACACCCCCCCCCTTGTGATTTTCTACCTCACATATGACTGCCCTTTCACAATCTGCCTATCACCTTACCAATATTCGTAACAGAGCTAGCAGGATGGGTGTCCGTGTGGCTTGTTGCGTCTCTGTGACTACTTGTCGCGTATCAAAAGATGTCCAGCACGACGCAGAACTATGACTCACTCTCTTCGCAGTTTCTTTCGTACCACTCCAGACTACTTCGTATTTTTTTCATTTCTGCACGACTTTCTGGTTGTCC